CGCAGCGCCCTGCCCCGACTGCTGCTGCCGCTGCTGCTGCTGCCCGCCGCCGGGCCGGCCCAGTTCCACGGGGAGAAGGGCATCTCTATCCCGGACCACGGCTTTTGCCAGCCCATCTCTATTCCGCTGTGCACGGACATCGCCTACAACCAGACCATCATGCCCAACCTGCTGGGCCATACGAACCAGGAGGACGCGGGCCTGGAGGTGCACCAGTTCTACCCGCTGGTGAAGGTGCAGTGTTCGCCTGAACTGCGCTTCTTCCTGTGCTCCATGTATGCACCCGTGTGCACCGTGCTGGAGCAGGCCATCCCGCCGTGCCGCTCCATCTGCGAGCGCGCGCGCCAGGGCTGCGAGGCGCTCATGAACAAGTTCGGCTTCCAGTGGCCCGAGCGCCTGCGCTGCGAGCACTTCCCGCGCCACGGCGCGGAGCAGATCTGCGTGGGGCAGAACCATTCCGAGGACGGAGCACCAGCTCTGCTCACCACTGCGCCACCATCAGGGCTGCAGCCAGGCGCTGGGGGCACTCCGGGAGGTCCTGGCGGGGGCGGCGCACCTCCGCGCTACGCCACGTTGGAGCACCCGTTCCACTGCCCGCGCGTCCTCAAGGTGCCGTCCTATCTCAGCTACAAGTTTCTGGGCGAGCGCGATTGTGCCGCCCCCTGTGAACCCGCGCGGCCGGACGGTTCCATGTTCTTCTCGCAGGAGGAGACGCGTTTCGCGCGCCTCTGGATTCTCACCTGGTCGGTGCTGTGCTGTGCCTCTACTTTCTTCACTGTCACCACGTACTTGGTGGATATGCAGCGCTTCCGCTACCCAGAAAGGCCTATCATTTTTCTGTCCGGCTGCTACACCATGGTGTCGGTGGCCTACATCGCGGGCTTCGTGCTGCAGGAGCGCGTGGTGTGCAACGAGCGCTTCTCCGAGGATGGCTATCGCACGGTGGTGCAGGGAACGAAGAAGGAGGGCTGCACCATCCTCTTCATGATGCTCTACTTCTTCAGCATGGCCAGCTCCATCTGGTGGGTCATCCTGTCGCTCACCTGGTTCCTGGCCGCGGGCATGAAGTGGGGCCACGAAGCCATCGAGGCCAATTCGCAGTACTTCCACCTGGCCGCCTGGGCTGTCCCCGCCGTCAAGACCATCACCATCCTGGCCATGGGCCAGATCGACGGCGACCTGCTGAGCGGCGTGTGCTTTGTGGTCCTCAACAGCCTGGACCCGCTGCGGGGCTTCGTGCTGGCGCCGCTCTTCGTGTACCTGTTCATCGGCACGTCCTTCTGTGGCCGTCTTCCGCATCCGCACCATCATGAAGCACGACGGCACCAAGACCGAGAAGCTGGAGCGGCTGATGGTGCGCATTGGCGTCTTCTCTGTGCTCTACACGGTGCCTGCCACCATCGTCATCGCCTGCTACTTCTACGAGCAGGCCTTTCGCGAGCACTGGGAGCGCTCCTGGGTGAGCCAGCACTGCAAGAGCCTGGCCATCCCGTGCCCGGCACACTACACGCCGCGCATGTCGCCCGACTTCACCGTCTACATGATCAAATACCTCATGACGCTCATCGTGGGCATCACGTCGGGCTTCTGGATCTGGTCGGGCAAGACGCTGCACTCGTGGAGGAAGTTCTATACCCGTCTCACCAACAGCCGGCATGGCGAGACCACCGTGTGAAGGGGCGTGCCTTTCGCGCGCCCCTAGTTCCTGGACCCACACCGCGCTTTCCTACACCCAGGAGGCTCCTACAAACTCCTTATTTTATTTTTTTAAATAAAGAACAATCGAAACCATTTCTTTTTTTAGGTTGCTTTTTAAAGAGAACTCTGCCCAACACCCCCCCCACACACACACACACACCAGGTTTGTAATTAAAAGTGTAAATAGTCTTTGTAAATTTAATTATATATTTTCTATTTAAAAGAAAAGAAAAAAAAAAAACGCAGTGAGGGCTCCCAGGCTAAAGAATTGGGAGCGGTGAGGGGGTGTGTGTGTCTGTCTTAAGTGCCCTTTTAAAAACTGCCTGTACTTTGGTTCGAATTTTTTGGTGATTTGGCAGGGCCTGGCCTGCTGGGAGAGGCACCTAGCCCGTGCGCTGTTTTTGTTGGCTGTGAGGAGTTGGGAGTTTGTTCCATTCAACTTCTATAAAAGCCAAATTTGTGAGCCTCCCCACTGACGCAGGGCCTGTGGAAGCTGTTGGATATTTTCAGACAAGACTTGGATTCGTTTTGTTTTGTTTTATTTTGTTTCCCTTTTCCCCTTTCTCTCCCTCCTTACTTGTCTTGTCTCCTTCCCTCAATCTTTGGAAACCTCCCAATAGAGATGAAGACGTGGAAATTAAAAAAAAAAAAAAAAAAAAAAAAAAAACCGGGAGTGGTGGGGAGAGGGCGGAGATCGGGTGAGGAATGGCCTCCACCCCACTGGCCCACTCCCCTGCAGGCAGGAAGATCTTTCTCTCCTTAGACTTCTTTTCAGCTTGCTGCCTCAAGCGCTCAAACTGGGCAGAGAAAGCTTGTGAAGTGTGTGTTTTGAAATAATAACATCCCCCACACACCACCTTGAGTACTGATCCTGATCCCTGGAAAGCTAATGTTTCTCAGAGGAAAAACACAAAAAGCAAAAGCTGAGTATTTATTTGCAAAGTTGAGGGATTTGAGATCTTTATTCTCTCCCCTCTTTCTCTGCATTCAGCTGTCTCAACAGAACATCTCTGACTTGCAGGCTGGCAGTTTGTGGGGTGGTTTGTGTTTATGTGTGTGCTTTTGTTGTTATTTGGGGCTTTTTTCTTTTTCTTTTTCAAAAGACAATAAAAGTGGGTTGAGTTGGAGGGAGGGGCATGGACGGGATGGTGGGATTTTTAGTTTTCCTTTGACAAAAGACTGGTTTCTTTTCAAACTTGTCCAGGAAAAAAAAAAAAAAAAAAAGGTGGGTATCTTTGCTTTAGAAAAAGCTCTGGGCAGGCTGTTTGTGGCTGTGGACATTCTATATCACGAGATTGACAGAATGTTTATAACAGATGTTTCTTATCTTCCCCTTGCCCCCCTCAAATAAAAGTCAAGACTTTTCTTAAGTTAGCTGCCTGAGAAGTGATGTATAAAGTACCTTTGACTGCTGGTACGAGAATTCCAGTTTGACACACATCATTTCTCTCAACGAATTGGAACATTTTAGAATTTCAATTCCAAAGGATTGAAGACAAGTATGCCACATAACTCAATTTTCACAGTCTCCTGTTTCTTGATAATAGTGCAAATTAAAAGCTAATAATCATAATAATAAAGTGCATTTAATTATCTTCCAGAGATTTAGCCCTTTAATTGTATTTAACAGGGTTGTAACATTTTATTAGTTTAACCAAACCACACCTCCTCCTTCCCTCCCTCTCTTACCTACCTGGTTGGGAGTGGGGCAGAGAAGGCACCCAGCCAAGACCTTGCCTTTTGAACTAAAAGATTATAGGGGAAAAGTGCCTTACTATCCTTTGTTGGCCATCTTGACAAGGGAGAAAGTAAGTTAGAACCCCTGCTTCCAAGTGTTTGTGTGTGTTAGTTTATGTTGGAGGAGGGGAGTTGGAAATGTTTGGTGGTAATTGAAGTCATATGTGGGGTTTTGTTTGGAGTTGCATGAAGCCTGGGGATTTCAGCAAAGCCCCCCTCTCCCAAAATAAATAATCTTCCCCCCACCGAATCATTCATGCCAGTGGCTAGTTGAAACTAGCTTTTTATCAAATGACGATGAGTGTGAAGTCCCAACATGAGGTTCCCTCCATTATCAAAGAAGCAGGCTGGGGAGGTGTCACCGCCCCAGAGCTCCATTTGTTGCAGGAGTCTAGAGGATCCCCACAAGGGCTGCGG